GACAACGCAATTGTTTTAAAGAATGTGCTCTTTAAAAAAATAAATAAATAAAATCATTCAATACTAGATTAGAATGCATAGACTCAGAATCAGACAAGAATAGCAATGTCATTTACAAAATCCCCTGGCCTAAACAATAAATAACAGGGAAGCAGAAGGGGAAATCACACTGTTGTTTTCCTATCAGATGAGGAATTGTCTCTGGTTCAGTGGAAAGATGTAACACTTTTTTTAATTTCTTTGAATGTCATAGTATGAAATGTACACTGCACTTCTGCCAGGGTTATTTAGAGGAGGAAGAGGTTTTATTCCATTACTGATTATTTTGATACTGGAGGTTTATTACAAGAGACAAACTCATAGGTTAGGTTAATCCACCTTGGTTTAAAATATAAGAGTATAGAGATATAACCAGCAGAACTTTGGTGACAAACTTGGCTGGAAGACAAAAAGTACATCAAACTGTACCTTAGTAGTTCAAAAGGCCCCTTTGAACAACATATTTTAAGAGCTTTCTGCTATGAGAAACAAATGTGAAACCAAAATTGATTCTGGGTTACATACTGAAATGTCTGTGTTTTGTTTTTTATGCATTTTCAGTTTCATACAGTAGATCCTGAAAGCCCCTGAATTTACCTAATTTTATTTCAAACATATATGGAACATAATCTCTTATGTAATATTGCAGCTGGTTTGAACAAAGCCTCAGGCCTTTTCAGTAAGCAGTGACAGTCAGTTATGAATCAATCAGATTCTCACTGGGCCCTACAGCAGTTTCTAGAGAGATCTGGTCATGTGTTAAGATTTGATCTGTCAAGGTTAATATAGGCCAAGGATAAAGATTTCCCAATTATCAACATCACATCTTCATAATCTGACAAAAGAATATTACTATCTCATAACTACACTAGGAGATTAAAGTGTCCTAGAGTGGCTTACAGTGTTAATACAACTGCAAGTGTGATACTGTAATGTAACAGTTTAATAAGTTAATATTGAGAAACTTGCTTTAGATACAATATCGCCAGTTAATTTGTTTTTGCTCCCCCAATTAACATAATTCCAAAGAAAGCAACCACAGTCAAGTCGTTGCTAATTAAGTGAATCATTGTTTGAATTGGTTTAATGAATGATTCAATGACTCACTCATTAAGACACCTGCTGTGTCCCAATTTGCATACTATCTGTCCTATAGTATTCAAAATTTGAGTTAGTGTGTCCCAAAGCATAGTATGTTGAAAGAAGTATCCCAAAGATACCCGGATTGTTTACTATTTCTGGTGAAAGTGCAGATCCATGCACACTGTAATGGCTGATGTTGCTGGAGACAGGATGCATGTAAATAAGCAACTAAGCAACAGAACTGTCCATTAAAGATGTAATTATAACAAAGTAGTGCGTCCCAAACATGGATCGCGGAATGAACCAAAAGAAGGGGGGGGCCCGGGGGGGCACATTTTAATATTAGAACAGTAGGCCTACTAATAGTAGTTAGATCTTAGATGCCAGATATATTAGCCTATATATTTTTAAGCTATGATTCTGGATAACTGATTTTTAGAATATAGATCAAGGTTCTCCTGATTCTGAAAACAAAACATACGACAACCAAACAAAATAATATGTAGGCTAATTTACTCACAACAGTTTTTGACAAAATATTATATTTAATGTTATAAATGAGGCTATTTAAAAATATTTATTAGGCTACTTTAAATGAATTCATTATGACAAAATCATTGAATGAAGACTTGTTTCGTCCAGTTTTTTAACAAATCTCTTACATGAATGATACAGACATCAAATACATTTTAACAGTCACTGGTCACCACCTACTGGCATAATGTAACAAAATCTATATTTGAAGCGCAACATAGTTCCAAATGTCATTTACTCAGTTTGATCGCGGCTGCGCAACATCAGAGTTTATGTCAGGTGTCCTGACATTTTATCCTACCCATCAGATTGTCCTACCAGGGTTTACTGCGCATGCACACATCAATATTGCGTCCTTTTTCCTACTCTGAATAACAATATTGAATGTATCTGCATTACTGTAAGGATAGGTTTATGGTTGGGGTAGGTGTAGACTTTAATAAAACACAACACACAATGCGCTCCATGTGACGTTTCATCTTCAAACGCGTGAGTGAAATGGAGGTGGGGAATAGTAATTATAAATGTAACACTTATATTTGTACGTATATACATGTAAACGACAAACTATCGCTGTGTATCTAAAAACAGTATTGTTAGTAGGACATAAATTGTACTTTAATCTCTACAGCACGTTTCCGATCATCAAATGACGTCACCTTTATCTTTATAGCGCTTTATACAGTACAGATTCTTTCAAAGATATTAAATAATAATAATATTGCAGCAATATAATATATAAATAAAATGTATAAATACAAATATTTCAATTATGCAAACATAATTCAATTCCACTAAGCAGCTCTAAAAAGAAATGGAGTGTCTAATTGGCAAACAGACCAATTTGTTGGCAGAGGCTATTTACATTAACTCCGCCCACCAATGCCTGGCTGTGATTAACAGCACTGCAAAAGACACTTGCATTTCTGAAGTATCAGTGGCGCAGCAAGTAAAACGTGAGCTGTTTGCTTTTGATGCGGTCGACCCGAGTTCGATCCTGGCTTTTGTCAAACTCATGCTTCTCCTTTTCCCATCACATACCAGATCAGAAAGAAATTTATTTAAAATAAAAATTAAGTAAATATTTGAAAAGTGGAAATAAAACGCCTCAATAATACAGTGTTGTGTATGCGTTAGGTAGGTTTTTGTCCCAATAAAGTGGCATTCATCTAATACAATTTATATATATTACTACCCACTGTTTTAATGGGAGGTAGCAAAATCTGACAGGGTAGCACAAATCGACAGAACACCGGACTAAACTTTTATCCCAATACTTTCATTATTATTTAATGTTTGCAACACAGAAATGTAGCCTAGCCTACTGTGTAAGTAGACTGTGAAGCTGTTTCAAACATAAAGCTTACATGATGAGCTGCTCTCTCTGGATCAGCGGCTCCGCGAAAGGAGGTTTAAATATTCCGATGTGACTGTCATTTCAAAAGTTAAATAGACATAGTGGAATCATCATTTAGGAATAAGATCGCGTGTTTTAATCGAGATCGCAATCTTTTAAAGATTAATCGTGCATGCATATGAGCCTATAGCCTATGTATTTTTGTAGCCTTTGTCATATACCAGACCTCAAAATTCCCTTTGTCATATACCAGACCCCGCTTCCACGACCCATGGTCCCAAAGCTTATTCTGCTACACTCTCAAAAGCATGTTCTTCTTCTTCTTCACAAAAAGAGTACATACTTTTAAGGCGTAGTATAAGTAGGCGAATTGGGACGCAGCAACACATTCCTGAATGAATCAATCCTATGAACGAATCGGTTAAGTGACTGATTCAATGACTCACTAAAGACAGTGGCTGTGTTCGAAATGCCATACTATCATACTACTCTTACTATTTCTGCAGTATCCAGTATGTATGTAAAGACAGCTCAGTGTTGATTTAGTTCTGTCCAATATGTAAAGTTAATCAATTATGAAATGAGTTCAATTGGGCAATATAGCATTGTTTACTAGTATGAAGCCTTATTAACAAGCCTTTGTAAAAAGAACAGTTAGCTCATTTGTTTCTAAGGTAACAACCTTGACAGCTGTGCTGAATTAATGTTCAGTGTTTGTCATGTGACAGCACTTAAGCATACTACTCTGAAACATTTATTGCTTATTGTATACTGTTTCACACACTATTCTTTAAAAAAATAGTAGGCAGTATGCACTGTGTACTGGGCAGTAAGCAGTAAGCAGTAAGTAAGTATGCCATTTCGAACATAGCCAGTCTGTTCTTGAACGAATCAGTGATTTAACGAATCATTTGAATGAATGACTCATTCATGACTTATTCACTGTCACTTGTCTCCACCTACTGGCATATCGATGTTAACGTGCGGAAAGAGTTATTGAAAAATCCCTACCACAAATGCACAGATGGGACAGCCTGTGATACAAAACAGTGAAAAGTCTGCTGGACTGAATGCTACTAGCATACTCTACTACTGTAAATTTATGTCTTTAAGAAATAGTAGTAGGCCTACAAATAGTATTTCAGTAGTAAGTAATAATAAGTAATTCAGTCCAATCAACTCTTATGGAATGCCTCTCTGCCAATCAGCTTCGAGGACAAATTGTTGAATATATAAGGAGACAAACACAAACATCTACCAGCCATGCCACTGCTATAACAGTGTTTAAACTTTTAATTTTCACACTTAGCGAATTGTAAAAAGAAAAAAGACTGAGGGTTTGAGAAGCTTGAGCAAGCATAATGTTGCTATGTTTACTTTCTCAAGGTAGGTTGCTGTGGGTCAACCAACAAACAGTCAACCACATGCTGTTTATAGCCTCATTGACCAAATAAATGCACTTTTTTGTACCTGTGATTAAAAAAAGAGATACAAATGAATAATCTTATCACTTACTCATGAGAAACAAATTCTGACTTCTCTGTTTTCAGGACAGTTAAAAACATCTTCCACTGACAAACAGGAAGATGCGTTGAAGAACACATCAAATGCAAAATCATCTTGTGAAACAATTAACTCTTTCTTTCTGTATTTGTTCATGTTTACTGCTGGTAACATAACATTCTGTATTTCTCTCAAACACTCTTATGTGCAACACATACATGCACACACACACACACACACACACACACACACACACACACAAAAGTGCTCTCTTGGGTCATTGTGATGATAGTTTAATTTCCACACTGTCATTGTCAAACATAGTCATACATACTGAGAGGGACATACATAGAGCTTTCCTGAGAAGACCACTGTGCTGAGGCAGCCGAAAACTGGCTAATGGTGATGAACAAAGAGCAGTGACCAGCATCACCATGTCTCTGTCACAATAGTACTAAAAACAAAGAGGCTACTTTCCAGAAGGCCAGGCCACCATAAAGAGGCATGCGCTCTTAGCTGTTGCTGTTTAGCTGAGGGGAGGTCAGTGGATATTTGCGCTTGCATTGTGGTCATGTCTATGGACTGATAGTGGCCTGTCACTTAAAAAGCATCAGGACAGGAATGCCTCTGCCACGACGCCGATCCTCTTTTCTGGGCCAGGCTGCTTCCGAGCGGCCCGGTTGTGTGGGCCGCATGAGTGCAGCAGGCACCTCTGCGCCTCGGGGAGTGTTTGTAGGCATGGCTCCCACCGGAGGAACCAGCAGCCTGGGTACACGCGTGTCCCGCAGAGCTCTGGGCATCAGCAGTGTGTTTCTGCAGGGCCTTAGATGCACCAGTGTTCCTGTGGTGACCCTGCCCGGAGATCGAGGCCACCAGTTTGGCTTCGACAGCCTCAATACATGCCTCCTGGAGTACCACGATAAAGTTCACGCTCTGGAGCAACTCAACCAACAGCTGGAGGAACAGATCAGACACTGCTTGGATCGTAAAGCCATCAGCGCTGGGACATGGACTGGCCTAAAACAAGACTGGGAGGATGTTTATATGCAGGTAGGAGGATGTTTGACAGGGTTGGATTAATACATCAAGCACAGCAAAACACAGCAAAAATATATACAGTATATTTTTTTCTAGTGAAATATTTTTTACATCCATTAAACTTTTTTTTCCCCCTTCAAATTAAAAGATTCATTTTTTATTTATTTACGATAAAGGTCTAGGATAAAGATAAAACATAAATCTAAATATATCATAAATATAGAAAAATATAGAAAAATATCCCAAATTAAGCTCACTTTTCTTACCCCACTGACAATTTTTGATTTAAACATAAATTCAACAAATAGAATATATCTTCAATTTAGTTTTCTTTTCGTATCCCATTAGCACGTTTTATTTTCTTTCTTTTAATTAGTAAGATGTATGGTTTAATATATTGAATATATTAAATAATTATAAAGTTATCTAAAATTATTTGAAATTTAATGCATTCATTTATTATGAATATATAAAATTAATATATATTTTAGATTAGAAGGGGTTTAATATATAATATATAATAAGGTTTAATAATTTAATATACTAAATTATTCTTCATTTATATATATATATATTTGAAGTAAAAATATACTCATATTTACAGGTGTACAAGCTAACGTATTTCTTCTTTCTCTCAGGTCAGTGAGGCTATCCTGGACAATGCTCGACTTATGCTCCAGACTGAGAATGTTCAAGCCAATGCAGAGGACTTGAGAGACAGGTGTGAGTGTGATTAAAATAGAGCAACAGATTTTAATCATATCACTAGCTTTTATCTGCATCAGCAGATTTCTATCAAATGGTCTATAGTGTGTTTCTATGTATAATTGTGTAGGTATGAGAATGAGCAGCCGTTCCGTAAAGCAGTGGAAGAGGAAATTAACTCTCTGTACAAAGTCATTGATGATGCAAACCTGAGCAGGATGGACCTGGAGAATGAGACTGAGAGCATGAAGAATGAGCTGATGAATCTGGAGCAAAATCACATTGAGGTGAGATAAGACCAGTTCAACAACAGAACCCTCTTCGTGAGGGAGATGTTTCAGTGGTAAATTAGCATCTTCTTTTGCTCTTCTTCAGGATGTTAGAGTGCTCTATAAGCAGATATCCGGCCATGAGGTTGATGAGCCGGATGCTCCCACTGAGACCAGCCTGGACCAGATTCTAGCTTTTATCCGCTCCCACTGGGAGAAAGTCATTGAGAAGAACCGTGCTGAGACTGATGCCTACCTTGAGTGCAAGGTAAACCATTGAACATAAGCCTATATAGACTATTTTATCACACAGTGCTCTGCAATTCTTGATTCTGAATGTGTCATCCTGTGGCCAAATATTTTTGCACAATGACCACCAAACTGTATAACTGACTGTTTTCATTCTGTAGTTTCTTTCATCTCACATAAAATACTTTGAAAACACTTAAAGGTCATTTAATGCATTAGGTATATCAGGAACTATCAGTGAACTAACACAGGTTTACATAATTTATTAATCTTTTTCTTGAACACCAAATCTGCATATTAGAATGGTTTCTGATGGATCATGTGACACTAAAGACTGGAGTATTGACAGCTGAAAATCCCGTTTATACCATCAGGAATAAATGACATTTTGAAATATGTGACCCTGGAGCACAAAACAAGTCTTAAGTCGCGTGGGTATATTTGTAGCAATAGCCAAAAATACATTGTATTGGTGAAAATTATAGATTTTTCTTTTATGCCCAGATAATCACAATGTTCTTCTATACTGCAGGTTCCCCGGTGGTTCTTCAGTCCCTGAGGGACGAACTGATCCCGCACCTTCCACATCTGGGCCACAAAGCAGTCCACAGACTGAAGGTACTGTTTCCATCTACAGAATATAGTTCTTAAAAGATCTGATTGTATTGTGAATAATAGGTTTAACATTAACGATGAAGATTAAACATGTTTTGATTTTTTCTATCAGGTTCTAATGCTCCTGGTGCTCCAGAAGAAAGCAAGCTGGAATGATATATATATTTTATTAATCTTTGCAAAAAGCTTGATTTTCATTTGTTTCTCTTCACTTGTAATTTACACCATCTATAGACTACATGATTACTGTGCAGGTTAAAAATAAATAAAACTAAAGATGCACTAGCTAAGATTTTATATATAAAGACTCAGTTGTTTCTCTGATTCTAGCCTCTATGATTCCATATTCTGATCCTATGTGCCTATATCCTATTTTACTCCCACAGGTAGCAAAGCCATAAATGATAGAGTGGGAAATACGAATAATTGACTATGGTCAAAACTGAAGCTCCTTAACACGATAATAACACCTTGCGGTTATAATGACATGTCTATGAAACAGCCACCTAGACATTACTTCAAATCCATGTTATCGTTCTGAACTATAATTTCTTTGTTTAGGAAATCCTCAAATTGCAAGTTTACTGCATGCATGAGAAGAAAAAAGCTCAAAGCTATAACAAAAGTCAGTAGGTGACTGGCATTTCTAGAACAAACACAGCCATATTTTTAAAGAAAAACAGTCCTGCATTTACAGTCATTTTACTGAAATGTTTTTGAATATTTCATTTTAAAAAAGTGCAGTCGTGCAACATTTTAAGAAGTGACCGTCTAGAATAGTATACTAAAATATAGTTGCATAAACAGATTTAAAAAAAAAAAAAATCCAAACATATTCATATTTAGGGTTATTCATTCAGCAGATTTCATTTCTCTGGTCTCGTTGGGTCTCCAATGACAGAGAAGCATCCAGCACAGTAACGGGCCGGTTTCTTTGTGTTGGCAGAACTGGCTCTTTTCAGACGAAATCCAAGACTGCTGACCCTCATGTCCTACGAACATCAGCATAGCTTAATATTCCACATGCAAACAAATAAGTCTGATTATGTCACATCATAAACACTCTTCACACCTGTGAGTTTCCTAGTGTTACACTTTCTGATGGCTGTGGATCTGATGGTTGGATCAGTACAGGTGTCTGTAAGATGAAAAACAAATGCAATACATCAGTTACAGTTAGTATTTTCAATACCAGACAGTTTTAATTATACATTTTGTTTTTTCTAAAAGCAAAATAAAAAAGATTCTTATACCTTTCGAAGTGGCTCCATAGGAAAAGCAGCTGAGAAGTTCAGCACAGAGATGAGCAGCAACAGCAGCAGGGCTCTTTTCATGTTCCCAGTCATCTTCAGTCTCATACTAACAGTGAACAGACAAACGCCTGTTCAATTAAAACACCACTCAAAGGGTGGGACCCAAAGCTGCTGTGCGTCACAGAGAAAATTACGGCACAAAGGCGGCATTGTGTCCTTAAAATGAATGTTTATTTAAGACATTTAGGAATTACGTGAAAAATAATATTTTAGTCCCACACAAAAGATCTCAGTTAATGCCGTACCTTCGGGTTTAATGGAAATGTTTTAAAAGGGTACAGGGCGGCAGACTCGATATTTGTCCCTGTTGAGCTCTCCCATCTCAAACGGAGGTAGCCGAGGAATATATTCAAACACATACAGAGATGTGATCCATATATATATTAGATTTCTGTAAAACGTAAACTTGATTCTCATTTATGTGACAAACTAACATGTGCAATGCTATAAAAAGAGGAAAAATGACAGCTAATAATAAATTAAAAGTAGAAATACTGCATCACAATTGGAAGTTAATACAAAATAAATCATAAAATATAATCAGCAGAGAAACACAGTATTGGTAATATAAGAAGAAAAATATAAACTGTGTTAAAAATTCAGTCAGTAATCCTAATTCCAGATTTGTTATTTGAAATTATAAAAGCATCAAGTTGAAAATGTATACGTCCATACATTCATAAAGCATAATTTGGATATTTTTTGCACAAAACATGAGGGAATGTTCCATTTAAATCTTCAACACTCATACTTCAATAAGAGGATGTGAAGCCACTATAGTGAATAATCCTGAAAGCACATATCTGACAAGAGTCCTACGTCAGTTTCACTCTCCCTGTATGTGTGCTGGTTCTCAAAAACACAAAGGACAAATTAAAAAGTAAAAGCAAGACATGGGATTGGATGGGTGCACCGCAACCCATCTATACAGGATACAGAGCTGGTGATCGGTCATCCCCAAATTGAAAAAGATTGACGTTTTCTTTCAAATTTAAGAGAATTCAAGTCAATAAAGTGGTGAAATCAAAATACAGTCCCATGTAAAGTGTAAATTCATGGCACATCTAGCAGATGTTTTGCACAGACGCATAAGAGGTCAATTGCTCACATTAAATAATATCCCAAATAATATACGACTAGTACTTCGAAGTAAGAAATATTCTTGATCAAATATGATTCAAAACAAGTTTATCCTTATTAATCAAACCTTCTTGATTATACTCTCCCAATTATGGCATGGGTTAACAGTGGTTAACTTTCACCTGTCTAGAAATCTAAATTGGCTTCCAGTTTAGAGGAGCAAAATTCCAAATTTATATGTGTATATGATGATATTCCCAAGCAACTGACGCTTTAATGGGCCCACAATACACACTATCTGATAACAGTGCAAAAGTGTGCCTCATTTCCTGTAAATGTTTTCAAAGCATGTATGAATTCTACATTTGGTTGTCAAAAAAAAAAACAGGACTACATCACCATTAAAGGTGTACTGGCATATCTGCTTTAGGCTTTTTCCAAAAAAAAAAAAAAAAAAAAAAAAAAAAAAAAAAAAAAAAAAAAAACAGAAAAAAAAAACCT